TTAATGTACTGGTTCCTGATTAATCTAATTTTTTCCCAATTTTCTTCAGAATTCGATCTGACAGCTTTTTGATGAATTTTGCTTTTCTTTCTGCTCATGATGTTAATTGCATTGTTCATCCAAAGTTTATCTCTTGGTCGAATTGTTACATATTTATTTGGAATATTGGATTTGGCTATCCTCATCAATTCACCTGTAAAGGAGGCAACTGAAAGATCAATATTATCCCGGTCAACAATGGTATCCACCCTTGTACTGAGTACGTCTTGTCTTAGTCCTTTAGTAATATCGTCAAAGTTCCTATAGTCCCAAATAAGTCTTTTGAAATTTGATGCCAATTTTGGTTTTGATAGTTGTTAACGAGAACACACAGGCCTATGGTCACCACAAATTCGATCAAGACAGCCGGATTCAACCACCATGCCTGGGCAATTTGTTATTATCAAGTCTATTAAAGTTTGAGTGTTAACCGACATCCAGAAAAACTATGGGTAGATAAAGGAAGTGAATTTTATAAGGAAAATATGAAATCTCTGGGATTTGAAATTTACAGCACACATAATGAAGGTAAAGCTGAGAGAGAGAGATATAATACAACTCTAAAAAATAAATTATTCAAAAAGTTCACGGAATTGAAATCTCAAAAATGGCTTAAAATATTACCAGAGGTTGTAGATGAATACAATAACAAAATTCATTCATCTATAGGTGTCACACCAACACAAGCCTCGAGTAATCCAAATATTATAAAGTCAATTAAAGCACAACATAACTACGAAAATGAAATAAAGAATTTAAATATCAAACCAAAATTTAAAGTCGGAGATCGAGTTCGTATTTTCAAATATAAAAGCAAATTCGAAAAAGATTACGTTGGATACTTGACAAACGAAATATTCATCGTTGATAAAGTAAACACCTCATCACCTCCGACATATGAATTAATCGATCAAGACAAAGAATAAATCATAGGTGGGTTTTATCAAAACGAACTTCAAAAAACCGACTTTTAAAAATGAATATCTTTCTCGATAAATATGGAACCGATACAACCACAAACTTTCAACTTATGAGATGGGCGAATGAGTTAAATATATCACCATTTTATTATTGCATGAGAGATGAAATAAATGATCTGAAATATAAGAAAGGTAAATTTTACGCTATAACAAATATACATACTTCCGATCAAAAAGGAGTTTATCATTCTGCTTTGTACAAAGACTCTTCAAATGACTTATATTTCTTC